GTTACTGTGGAGAAGACAGAACAGCACACGGTTTTAGTTGATCCTGCCCAAAAAAACCCGGGTAAAGTTACGTCACCAGACGTGTCAAAATTGCTGCGCTCAACAGAATAGAATCAAATGCTCATTGTATTAAATATCAATAGTTGAGTCTTTACCTATTGCCATTCGCTAGATAATTCGATGGAAAAACGCTTGAGCTAACCGTCTCCATTTGAAGCTTCAGAATTTAGAACCTCCTCCCCCTCCTCCGTTCCATAAGGATGCGCTATGTTAGTGAGAAGAATTAATGTGCAGCTGCTGAACAAACAAACTTACACAACAGTTACTCGTTCATTTGTATACTTTCTCAGACTGTCACGATTCCGCCGAATAACTCCAAATAGCGAACTAACATCTATAGGTCACCGAGCCTTCCCGCCGAAGAATCTCAACGAAAAGTTGTATTTGTTAATTCAAGCAATTTTGTTTACAAACCATGTAATCCCATCCTGAATCGATTTACAATTAAACATAAATTTCAATGGAGCTATGTAGTTTTGGGCTACTAATATGTAATGTGCCAATACCATTCTCACTTGTCTTTCTCATGGAAAAGCTTGAGTACATGCTAGGTAATGTGCACCTGGTTAAGGTGACTTGTTACGTGAAAATTCGTGAAATGCTGAATTTCTTTTTTCTCTGCGTAGGATAAAGTAAAGGATCACGTAAATAAACAACAAGATGTAGAAAATGCTGTGAATCATCATTTAACATCTATCAGGCCTAAAAAAAAATGTCAGCTATATGAAAATACGCGGCCCACATATAAAAGGAAAAAAGGATAAAGCATTTGCCGTTGATCAATCCCTTTTTGGGATGCGGCACGCATTCTACTTCCATTTGTACATTCGTAGTGGCGTTTGAATGCGATGTGGCCTATACAATGACTTGCGGGGGCCAGCCGATGTACAAGTCAGTGTTTTTATCCTCCCAGACAAGTCTGGTACCAATTAACCGACCCCGGAGGGATGGAAGGCTTGGTTGGCCCGGGCGACTCACGACCCAGGATTTGATCCCGGACCGCTCGCGTGGTGAGCGCGCCACTTGTCACTACACCACTTCCGCCCACGATATATTCTTTGATCCCGATAGGCCCTGCATAAGCAACTGTCAGTGATCAAACTTTTTCGTTCTTTTACAGGAACTTTTTTCTTCATGATTCAATAGTTTGCTCGCTAATTTGGCAATTAGATAGCAGCTGAACGCCGCGCTTTTGATGCGCTCCTTTTCTAAGGTCTAACCACTTGCCAAAGCCTCAGTATTCAGATTTCTAATTTGGGGAGATGTTGGCCTCGACAAGAATACTTAGAAATATGTCATGTTCTGATCGCTCAATGTTCGTCTCACCATTTCACGAAGAACGGCGTAGGCATTTCTAAGTCAGAAGTATGACTGCTAAGGTTTGTGCTTCAGAGAAGAATTCACCGAGAAGTAACGAGAGGTGAAAATTGCAAATAAAATTTTTTTTTGTTTTGGTAGAGAACCTCCTGAGGGGGTGACCGACGCGTAATTCTGGCAAGCGAGAAATCCTTGATCTCGGTCATCTAACATGCTCCACATCTTGGCGCTGGCCGGGTTCATCGTCCCGACCGATCTAGTTATTCGCGCGCAGTTTTAGAGGCACATGCGATGGAAACCCTATTCAATGCACAATTCAAGAGGGCAATGGAAGTCGTCCGGTCTTCTGAAGTTAGGGGCCGTTTCGAATGGTTTCTTAATTCCTCCTCCACTGACCACCTCTTCTCTGATTTTCAGTGAGCTAACTTCTCATCGTAAATTCTGCTTTTAAGCACAAGGATTCTTGAATGAACTTTTTGAAAACTTTATTAAGGAACTTCATCATTCTACTAAAATGTGCTTAGCTTTAGCTCCTTGTTAGAATGAGCGAGTAAATGTGTACTTTCGGATTTTCGTAATATTCTCTTTACCTTTGACTTCTCCACATCTATGCGTTTCCTGTTTCTATGTCGAACTTTCTTGTACTTTCGTCATTTCTTTCAAGAGATTATTTGCTTACGTTTCAATCCTTGAATGTCGTCAGCTTTTGATGATCTCATCTTTGAGAAGGATAAGATTCATCCCTACGTTCCAGCACGTTGTTGCACTCATTTTAAGGATGGCAGAGCGTTTCTTTATGTGTTTCTTTATGATTCTTCGTTAAGTTGGAAGAGTGCTGAAATGTTTCGATACGTTCATCGAACGAGCAACTTCGTACAATTAAAACTTCGGTTTCTAATGAGAGTTGCTTGAATGGTGTATGCCAAGGTGAGCTAACGTTAAGGATTCCTCGGTAGGAGGGTGGTATCGCGCTCTCATGGTTGGCATAATGGAGAATAGGATTCAGTCAGTGTGTGGGGACTTTTCAGAACCTGCTCAAGACAGAAATTTTATGAAACCGGCTTTCATTACGGGAACTCTACGAAAGTATCCCCATCTCGATCGACGAAGTTTTGAATAAAGTCAGTTCACGTAGAATGGAGGTAGGGGGATATATGTGAGTTAGATCTGAAGATGGAGGTGATTCATGAAACCGTAACTGGGTAAATGAAAGCGAAAAAGGAAACCTCTGACTTCCTTCTTCGTAATAGCCAAACTTCTACGACACATGGCTAACTCTGTCGCGCCCTTTTTTGGGCAGGTACAGTGGCAAGTAATGCCGCTTACTGCGCTCCGGGGTCAGCTTCCTCGTCGAATTCCGCTCACGGCCAAGCCAGCCCCTTTGTCGCCCTATTATAATTTGTCTGCACCGAACTCAGAGAGCAAATTAAAAGGTTGGAATCAACGAAAAGTATAGGTTTGGATAACATGGCTCAGCAAAATATATTGCTAAAATTTTATTCAAATAGAATTGCAATCTCATTAGATAGAATGCATGGTCTTCTGAAAAGTGTCCGGTCAACGCAGAATCAATTTGCTATTCTTGCAACTCCTGTCAATGCAGCTGTTTCAGGCTGTCGTGGACTACATATTAAACGGTCGACAGTTCTCAAGTGCTATGAATATTTTCCCATCGGAGAGACCATCGTCAGAACGACCTACAGAACGCGATGACTGTAAGATGATGTGAGATGACAAGCAACGCCATTGTCCTGGCGTTTGCACCTTGTAGCTCAAAATAGCTGCTAAATCTCGAAGCTGGTACTTGTATTCGATTTGCTCAAGTCTGCATTATTAGTGTTACTAAGGAAATGACATGACGAAATGTCGAGTTCTTTTTTAGTCCTCTCTGACGATTTGTCTTGTATTATTTCTAGTCTTGCTCTAGTCTACATTTTCGCAGTATTAGTCGTTATGTCTGTGCAATGCATCTCTGATGCGAAAAAATCCGAATGATAGGCAATTAATGAGTGATTATCCATTTCTCCAACAGTTTAGGGTCGTACTCGAAATGATTAAAAGGGAAGTAGAATTCTAGGTCAATTAATAGTTGATGCTTATCGTAAGAGGATAGTGAAGTCAGTAATGGGTCTCTTGCGTTGGACTTCGAGGCTGACCAACATCACGTGCTGACCATGAGTTTGTATCGCATTTGCCATACGTTAGTAAACAGATAATCCATAGGACTCTGACCCTACTTTGTGAGTCATTGGACGGCTTTAGGAGTGCCATCGTAAAGAGTAGTGCCCGCAATTTCTTCACCAACGTTGAAAAAAATTAATAGTTGGATGAAATTTAGATACCTTAACTAATTTTTTAGGTTCCAATCTCGTTGTCAGGTGCTGTTTAGGATTCTTCAAGCATGTAGTACTAGGATCAATTAATGCATTACAACAAGCGCGCGGTAGATAAACTGGACCAATGCCTATGGAGAGGCTTGAGGCTTGCAATAATGTGGAGGGTTTCGTCCAAATCTAAGTGGGTGTTATATCCTCGGTTGAAAACAGGATAAAATCGCTTGAGGAAAGACAACGGCTCGTCGAGGATTCTTTCACGCTCTCCCACGCGGATGCTCACTCTCGCCAGCTGCGAGCCGTCTGTGCTCTCCGCGCATTCATTCACTCTCGGCACTACTCTCGCACGGTAGAGAGCCATGGTCGAGGAATTCCTCGACCGTTATTCACCCTGGTTGAGAACCACCTATCACCTGTCGTCCCTGATCGTCGAGTTGCTCGAGCGTGGCGCCACCAACGTCTCCTTTCGTCCCTGTCGCGTGCAAGAGTGGTCCAGTGGATCCTCCTCGCTCGATGGACACGGCCATGATTCGATCACTAACGGAGATCGAAACTGTGGGTTACGCTTTACCTGCGTGGGACCTTCACGCTTGAAAGTGCGACAGTGGCGCTAGGGTCTTACAATGTGAGCAGTGGACGAGATAACTCGCGCACATCCCGTGACACGCACGTGGATCACGACGTAGCGGCTTATTCCAATACGTGCAGGTTGAGCCACAGAGCAAGCAATTTCGTAAAACTCGTCAGCTCCCGCCCCTCCTTATCTCAAATAGGAAGGAAGAGAATACTTTGGAATGGGATCATCGGCGGTTTGCTTTGAATCTTTTCCATTTTTGGTCAATTCGGTGTGCACAATTTCATTATCGGCCGCTGTTACCCTACCAAGATGAGCCGGGGTTGTCGCTTGAAGTAAATGGTTACTGTTCTACCAAAAGTGCCGCGCGTTTGTAAGTTTAGCCATTGTTTGTCTTTTTCAAGATGTTGAAGTGCTCATTTAGTTTAGTGAATCATTGTACAGTTGAAGCGAATTCTTGTCATGTTGTTACGGAATGTCATGTAGTTTGTGCCATATTGCCAGTAGTTTTTCATAAATAGTTGCATCCATATCTTCCAGTTTATTAACTGTATTGTGTACAAATTGACAATTGACTGTCGCTATATCACTGAGCATCTAAGTATGTACTCGTGCACACACATGAATGTATAAATAGGAACGAGTCATTGAGATCGAGGTGTAGTGAGATACTGTAGGGACACCACATGTCGATTGTGCGAGCGTGTTGCTTGTGGCTAAACGACTGGGAAGAAACATTGAAGTGGTTGTTGCATCGTGGAAAACAGAGTGTTTGCCAGAAGTGGAGAAAGTGGAGAGATTGGTTCAATCTGAAAACTCAGGATTTTATCGAAATTCTTGAGTCTAAAGAAGGAGTTGACAATGAACGCACCGATTTTCCTAGGTCGAATGGAGCTGATTGTTGTTTGAGAAGCTCGGAATAGAGTCTGAAATTGAATCATATTCCCCTTGTCGTCTCGGAATTAGAAGATACAGCAACCTATGGATATCTTTCTTTTTACGAGTTCATTGTGAGACTAACCTGGCTTGTATTATTTGTTGAAGGTATTCCAACAGAATGTCCTGATTGAGCGGTGGAAGCAGGGGGGTAGTGACATTCGTGGGTAGAAGAGGTGGAGAGTTGGGCAAGGATGGTGAAGACGACCCAGAAGCTGATGAGGATAGCGTTGCGGAAGACGAGACAACGTATGCCCTGGCTGACGACTCGTCCGTATACGTAATTGTGGTGCCTTCTGAAGGTTCGTTCATGTGATGATGTAGTGCATTTCTCGTCAGGAGTCACTCACCATCAACTTGATCTCCTTTAGGAACGATCCAAGCGCATGTTGCCATTTTTCGAGCGGATCGTCTTAAGCACGGCAAGATTCTGCCCGGGTTGTCGATGGCGGAAACGACGAATCAGTGCGTTCGCTCGCATGCTCATCACCCGAAAAAAAAAAAAAAAAAAAATAGAGCACTGAAAACGGCGAATTCATAAAAGTGGCGAAGAAGATCTTCGAAATGGCAACTCACTCGGTTCACAGCTGCATTCGTTGAATGGACATATAGCCGCATGTCCTTTCAGGACCGAAATGAAGCCATGTCCTTCGCATTTGCGGCAGGTTAATCGCTTCACTGAAAACATGAGCATCAAAATATTAGAAAACGTCTCTGACTCTTCGTTTTTACTGGCTTCTTTCAGTGGAACTCTTTTTTTTTCGTTAATGAATTGATTAGGTCCTCGTCTTCATCGCGTCTCTATGCCGTAAATGCACTTCGAAATACACGGAAAATCTCTAAGGTCACCTGCTCGTCGTCATCAGCTAAAAAATTATGTGCATCTAGAAAGTGTTGAGGGATTTCATTGGAATCCGGATTAGCCAGTCATAGATCGGAAACGACTTAACACTTTGACGAGACTTTCTGACGACGCTACTGGGCAATCTCTAAGGAATCTAAGCCGCCGTTCAGAGAATCCTTCTGTTATTTGGAATGATTTCCGTATCCGGAAAGACTTGGTGATCCACCACGTAAAACATTCGGGGTACACACGGAAGGAACCTGTCGTGAATATGGCCAGTTTTCAAAATAAAAGGAGTAGCAGAGCCACATGGGAATGAATTTGGCGGTGATTGTTTATCATTTCGATAAACATCCGAATTCGTTTTCTAGCAACGGACAGCAGGCCCATCCTTAAGGAATCTATCTCACCGTAGTGACTGCCTAGGACGTTTTAAGTAGCCCTCGTCTAGGAAATATCAGCGTCTATCTAAACAGCGCTCGCGGTGAAGCTTTCAACAAGGGTGAGGGTAGGTTCCAGGTAAAGCGATAGGAATAAAACTCGATCAGTTCATTGACTTTGGTCCTTGTTCAAATGTGCTATAGAAACTTACTGTGCACAGAGCAGTTTTCACCTAACAAGAAGCTGGTGTGGCGCCAAAGCAGAAGACTAAAATCCCGAAAATTGAACTCACTTGTCTTCTTCTTAAGTTGATCGTCTTGTTGCAAAGATGGATTGTTGAACGGCATTGCTGCGAAAATCATCGTCGTGGTGTCGTCCTCGACGGCTTTATATGGTAAGGGGGCGGCGCTAGCGAATACCCACGTAGCCTCTCCGTCATAATCTGTCGTCAAGACATTTTGTCGCCCTCGTTCCTCATGTTGCTGAGAAAAGGATCAAGGCTGCGGGCTTTTACATCCGGTCGCAAATGTTAGTGAATTGAGAGTTCATTCATTCAGGGCGAATGCCAGCTTGGCCTTCCGTGAATGAAAAGAGTAAGCTTCTCAATATGTATTTATAGCGAAGGAGAAGGCGTTTCTGGAACGTGGGTTAGCTGTTTCCATCGTTCTGGAAAAGATGAGATTGAGCAAGAAACGTTGCATATTATTGTAGAATAGAGCTTCAATGCGATAGCATACTCTTCTGGAACTTTACTCCGTGCACTGAAATGAAGCGTGTGAAGCGTACATCTAATGGAAATTCGAGCAAGCAAGTGCTTCATGGCACGATACCACTTACCTTCACGGCGCTCCTATTCACAAAGGGCACTATTCAAGTATCTTCTATTTTATAAAGCGCTAACTTTGTGTGTCGGTTTGTATGTCTGTATGTATGTATGTATGTATGTATGTATGTATGTATGTATGTATGTATGTATGTATGTATGTATGTATGTATGTATGTATGTATGTATGTATGTATGTATGTATGTATGTATGTATGTATGTATGTATGTATGTATGTATGTATGTATGTATGTATGTATGTATATATGTATGTATGTATGTATGTATGTATGTATGTGTGTCCGTCCGCAAAATGAAGTGAGTGAGTGATAAGGCAGCTAACGGAATAAACAAGCCGCCAACAAATCTGGGTAGCTCGCAGGATTTGCGCTATCAATGTTTTGCACAAGCATGATTGTGATAACCCAGAACGGCTATATAAACACGCACTTAGCACACTTTCGGTCATTCCACAAGGTGATGCTGTGGTAGCCGGCGAGCAGAGGAGAACGAGGGGTGAGTAAGGAGAGGAGGAGAAGGGAAAGCTTACGCAAGGTAGGATGTCGGCGCTCGGGGGACATCTGGGGAAAGGATAAAGGATAAAGCATTTGCCGTGATCAATCTCTTTTTGATCAATCAATTCCCACTATTCAAGTATTAAAACCCAAAATCTCGAAATTTTATTTTTCTTCGAAACTTAGCACATTGGGGTAACTCCTGACTACGAAAATGACATTCGTTTTCAACAATCGGTGCCATCTGGCAGCGGTAGGTTCACCTTGTTATGCAGTTGCTTATCTACTAAATTCGATTGTAAAATTCTATGTAAGCGGTAATTGGTTCCTGATCCGAATAGAATATTCTGGTAGCCATCTCCATTTGGCGCCTTTTTCCCTTCGTCTGCACCCACCTAGTAATTAGATCGCGATCAGGACCAAGCTTTAGGGGAGAGGAAGGCTACGACTGAGTAAGTCACCCAGCCAGTCATCTCAAACATCTTTTCACACGGTGCCTGACTTACCCAGCTCTCCCTATCCCCTAAGCTTAGTACCAAGGTGCTATGTTCGGGTGAGAGAGCCCAGAAAAGCGCGAAGTATGCGGCAAACAGCGCCAATGTAAAAAAACGAAAGTCATATTCGTGATCAGGACATCAAATACCCCTATACAGAACTTTACACCAAATTTGGTAAAACATGTGTCGTGAAAAGGTGACGCCAAGTGGCAAATATGAATGTCATTTCCGTGACCAGGGCGCCGGGCACCCTCGGGCATGTTTCAGGACGAAAAAAACTTGGTTTGGGTTGCAATTAGCTGAATAGTGGTACGATGTATCCTTCTATTTATAAAGCGCTAACTTTGTGTGCGTTTGTATGTATGTATGTGTGTATGTATGTATGTATGTATGTATGTATGTATGTATGTATGTATGTATGTATGTATGTATGTATGTATGTATGTATGTATGTATGTATGTATGTATGTATGTATGTATGTATGTATGTATGTATGTATGTATGTATGTATGTATGTATGTATGGTGGATGAAAGTGAGTGAAGAGAGGAGAGGGGGTGAAGGGTTCGAGGAGGGTAGGCGGGAAAACCACCCCCAACAGGCCTAGGATGCAATTAGCTTTCGTAAGGTGATTTTAGGCCGTAAAGCGTACGCTGTGAAAGAAGGTCCCGGCGGTTGGCGGGGGACCAACCTGGTGCTAAATTTTGAAATGAGGAAATCAGATAAAACAATGAACAGTCTCGGTTCGGCTACTTTTAGCACTGCCCTTCTAATATCTAGATGCAACCTCTCCTCATATTCTAGCCATTTTCATGCCCACTCCTCTGCTACACGAATACGTCCAACGCAGATGTCGCTGCTAGTATTCGATTTCGCCACATTGTTATCCATGGCATCTTCCTGCCGCGGTTTTTAGTGAGACTCCCTTTCATGGCGTACCTCCAACATTCATTTTCAGTTTCTCGTAGTCGCTTGGACTTCAAACTCCAGTCCACATGAAGTGGTCGTGTGGCCTTTTGCAGAAAGACATAGGTGATGCATGCCTCTATCAAACAGTTTCAATCGAGAGTTTGGGAGAGGGCTCACAAATAAGAAAATGACGGTGTTGGGACTCGCAGTCACAGCGAGCCATGTAGGGAGCCACGTGCGGTGTAACACGCTCCGGGCCGCATAGCCGTTGACACTGCTCACGCGCGTGCGATGGTTAAAGACTTTGTGGAAGCCATCTGCAATTCCACGCGGAAGTGCGAGTGTCATGTGTAGATCAATGGCATGATCACTGACTATAGTGTAGAGAGCGACTGACTGGTACCTAATGGGGAATGGGGAAAATAAGGCCCAGAGGCGGACTCCGCACGATGGGCAGACCTCCTTTTATAATTGTACGGTCAACTGTGGCGCAGAAGAGCCCGAAGCAGAGCGTCACGGTGATGTGCAACCTGTGTTCCTGGCGTGCCTGGGACGAATAGCGCTCGTGAATAAGGAGTAAGAAGTATTCGAATTTGGAAATCGGTAGAAAGCTGGCTTTTATTTTTATGAGATACAGTTCGAAACTAGTTCTAGACAGCGTCGCACAACGCGAATTGCTCTCCTTGTTCACCGTTGTATTGACTCTTTGACATACTCACCGATGACTATTATGACTAAAACGGTAGGGTGTGGAAAGACAATAGAAAGAGGCCTAGCTGAAACGACTTCTAACAGCCGATTCTCAGCCTTACTCAAGGAAGGTTCTTCTAGATCGTACAGGAAAACTAATGGAGATGTGCACTGCAAAAATCTGCTTGCTACTAACCAGAAGGCCCATCGTCATATCATCAATAATCGATCCATTCGAACGTCACTAGAAGGAACTCAAGAAAAACTGGAAGCGGATGGACTCTTCAATATGGCTATCTGATCTCTTCACTATCTCCCTCTGGTTTCCTAAAGAAGATTATCATGCTCAAGGGCACGACAAAAAATCGACATTCAATCATTCTTCATTTGCAAGCCTATGCAAGTCTATCATATAACAGGAACACGACGTACTCCTAGTGTGCTCCTAATTTATCAAAGACAAATTGGTCCCCGCTCAAAGCGACAGGAACCTTCCGTCCTTGTGTGCATCTTATGTCTTCCGCTGTGGTCTTCTCGCTGCAGGGCACTAACACTCTGGAATTGCACGTATGAAAAGTAGGAATTTCCATATAGTAGAGGCATCACCTAATAGTGATATACGTTAAAATCAAGACCAATACTGACTTAGCTTCTGGCTCTGCAGTGGTGGTCGGATTTCCCGCCTCCCCTCTTCACACTTCTGCCTCCTCCCTGCCGCTCCAGCTGCCGGGAATGCCTGGATTTGTGTTCAGTAAGTGCTCATAGGAGTAGGAGTGTTGCCACAGCCATCCAATAACAAAACATTGAGAGCAAAAGTCCTGCGAGCTTACCCGATTTGCTAGCGGTCTGTTTATTGCATGAGCTTCCTTATCACTTCATTTTGCGGACGCAGACAGAATCATACAATCGACAGCACAAACTAAGCGGTAAAAATGGGTACTATTTATGGGATTATGTGGTATTTTTGTTTCGAATGACAGTTCGAATGCAATCAACAAATTTAGGTGCCATCAATCTAAATCCTGAAACTAAAGACCGATCCAGTAACGACTCGATGTACCGAATATCGATAGATATGCAGACTAAATTTGACCAAGAACACAGCGTGTAAGTGTGAGATGTCTCCCGCGTTAGCTAAGATAACAATCTTTTTTTCAAAATAGGGTTGTATTGACAACATGGTAGTCTTGTGATTGCATTACCAAGATTCAAGGGTCAGCAGGATTAGACAAGTGAGCGGTATTTTTGATTCATGGTTGAATCATTCGCTGCCCCATTGAATGCTGAGGTTTATTCCTCTGGTGTACCGAATGATCTCCATCAGGGAAGCACGAACTCCCGGTACGATTTTTGAAATGTTGAAGTAAAACAAGACCTGTTTGATGATTCACAGCAATTTAAGCGCAGCGGATGTCCTCTCATCGCTATATTCAGAGAAAATTTCAATTGTGTCCTTCTCGAAATGATAATGGAAGGAAATCCGTTGTGTTTGAGCTTCAGTATTCATCTACACGATGCCAATTTATAGGCACGCTTCAAAAGCCTAAAACCGAACCCGACTTCGTGCGTTCCCCGCTATATGTGATTTTGGGAACGGCACTATGTTTCACCTCAGCTAGCCATTCAATCATATATAAATACAGCACTGAAGTAATAATGGGCAGGAACTACTTGACGAACTGGAACACGATGAAGTCTCAGAGCGCTCGTCTTGCGTCATGACAGCAGAATGACTGCAAGATCGTTAAATATGGTTTCCTCCGGCACCGTTCGGCGGATTACTGGGCCTGGCCCTTTAACACGTTGACGACATCGCGCGTTTTGGTTTTTGCACCGCGTGGGACCAGAGCGATTTTGCGAGCGCCGCCGCCGCACACCAAATCCATGGATTTTGAGCTGTAAATACGCAATACTTAGATGCGATGAAGTGTTTTCAATAATGTTCGATCTGTCTAACTTATCGGGAGTTACAGTAATGGAAGTTCGACCGAAATGACGTGTTAAGGCCATGAAAAGGCAAATTTTACTTACTTTCCCTTTAGTGGTTCCAAAATTAATTTGGACGTGGTTGTTTCAGTAAAAACACATATCTTCCCATACGAATAGGTTTGTATTCGCTTCTATTATTCCTTTTTATCAACATGTTTACGTTAATGAAAAGAAAACGAGGAATGAACTGAACAGACATATCCGTAAGGTCTGGAAAACCTCTGCCAAACTAAAGAATATTTGGCCTTTCTGTGAGCCATGTGGTTTTTAAGTATGCTAATGTATGACCTATAGAATGAGTACAAAGACCTTAGAAATAAGTCGCGCAAGCGCAAGAAAAAAGGATGACTTGGTCATCTACGCGGTAAATCACCTCAGTTTGCTACTCCCGCCTGCGCTCTCTCGCCTGAACAGCGGCTCATCATTGCTGTGTCCTCACACATTCAAACTTTTGTCACACTGTAATAAGCTCACCAGCCCTACAGTCCCTGTACCCTCCAAGGCTTGGTACTAGGGCTTCCACCTTACTGAGCCAAGCACCGTTCCGTAATCGTCTGTACTCTCCACCATTCCTGGCAGGATCATAGAAGGAAGTCCAAGTAACCCGTAAACCCTCCGGGCACGCTTCGACAGGGTCACACCTTTACTGTTGCAAAAATTGCTTCAACATTGGAGAAACGTGGAACATCTAGACATAGAACTGAAGGATAGCGCAGCGCTTTCTAAGGAAACTTGTTCAAGTTCAAGCAGCACACTTGAGTCGATACTTTGGTTTCTTGATGGAGAATACCACACATTGTTCAAAATTATGAATTGAGTATGTGAATGTCTTCAAGGTGCTTATACTCCATATCTCGAAGTCAGATTAGGCGTGTCTATGGTTTGACGTGGCAGCCGCCGCACTTGATAGAAGTTGCGCGGATAAGCTGCTTCCAACATGCTTTGCTGATATCTGGCGGAGTATTTATCCTCACGGCTTCTATCAAGTGCGGCAAGGCCACGTCATTTCCGCAGACACGCCTAATCTGACTTCGAGATTTCGACTGTACATGGAAGGATGAAGGCGGAAGTTTGCTCCATTCAATGTATTGCACTCAAGTACGGGAAATTACTATTCTGTTCCGTTATTAGCACATTCACGAAGAAGAGTGGTTTCGATTTTCGGTCGCGTGGGAATGACGGGATGTTACGAGCGGCGTCTCACACTTAAAGGAATCTTGCGCGGAAAAATCATGATTCTATTTCAGCCATAAATCACTGGCTTGAGACTCATTATCCACGATAATAGTGAAAAGAACTGAAGTATTGCTTTCGTTTTGATTAGAAATTCGAAAACTCGAAAAGGCTGCTACGCGTTCGAATTGCCCACGGACGTCTTTCACGAATGCTGGCGACGGGGATGCTCAAACTTGGTTCTTGGAGTGCATTCACTAGAAGCTCTTTCTGGCCTTCTGCTTCGTTGCATTCACATCTTACACTTCTACTCCATCCTATTCCATCGATCGATTTGTCTCTACTCTCCGAAATCGCGCGCTTTAACCCGATTCTCTCATTGCGTGCCTGAAACTTCGT